AGGATATTGTGCTGGAGGCAAGTGCAGGTTCACGCGATGAATTGAACAACTCAGATCCATTGAAAAGAGAGTAACTTTTCCCTTGTGTGGATAGGATGGTTGGTGAGCTTGAGCCAAGATTTTGCAGTGTAGATGCAGGGCTACTAAAAGGCATCCAGGCATACAGTCGTAAACCTGAGAACTTCTTGAGTAAATCACACTTGAATGAACTTGGTAAGCAGTACAGTATTGACCAGAAAACAGTGGAGGTTCTGGTGGCCAGAAACTTTTTTGCCTGGAAAACAGAGGCTGGATGTTCACCCAAGAATATGTCGTCTGTGCACAACTGCCTTGATTCAGACATGTTTCCCTCTCTGAAGGTAACTATCCAAGTTGCCCTAACAGTGCCTGTAAGCAGCTGCTCACGTGAAAGGTCATTCAGTGCACTGCATCGGCTGCACTCCTGGCTATGTCAAACAACGGAAAGTTAGAAAAGACTTCACAGTCTTGCAGTAGTCAATTGAAAAAGACATGCTTCAGCATCTGAATCACAACTAATAGACCGACTTTCCAGTCTTAAGAACAGACGGCATTCTTTGATGCTTCCACCCACCAAGTGGATGGCAGTTGCAGCACTCTTAACAAAATAGCAGTAACAATATATAGACAAATTATTCATGTTTTTCTTGTAAATGCTGTAAACATACAGTACTTCCTATGTTTATATGCAGAATAAAAGACAAACTGAAATAACACTACAAATCTAACGAGGGGGAGACTCATAAAACCTAGTGATGCCCCTGCAACAACCCCATTAATCATTATTATTAATTTTTTTGTTGTTGTTGTTTTTTGTTTCCTTTTTTTTTTTTTTTAGAGAAATTGACCAGATGCTGCCTATTTAATACTTCTAACTTGACCACGGATACATGCACATGCATATTTCATGATGGAGTGGTGTATCAATCTTCAAATTTGGAAGCTATGGTCCAAATATTAAGCTGCTATCTGATAGCTGAGAACATATTAGAAGTTATATATTAAGGTTCCCTATTAAAATAAACTATAAGTAGTATATATTTGTGTGTGTGAGTGAGGTCAGCAGTTCGATCTTTGGGGTGGTGGTTTTATCTTTCATAAAACAGCATAAACATAAAAGCAAACACATTTTGTTTTGTTTTTTGACAAGCATTTGTACAAACCACATAGAGTCAGCCCTCCCTTCCTCTCCGCCTCCTCTCCTCCCACCTTCCAGACTCTGCACCTCAGCCAAGGTTATCTCTTCCATCGATTCTTATCATCAGCCTTTCAATTGATCTATTACCCCTGCACCCCACCTACTTAATGCGAGCTTGATTAACTATTGTCACCCTACAGGGCTGGGAGTGGGGAGACTGCCAGCCAGAATTCTCCAGATTAAGATGAATTTTCATTGTCTTTGTTCCCAGAAGTGTCGGAGAGCACCAACTTGTGATGAAACAGGCTAAATTCAGAGGCGCTAGAATGGGTTGGGTCCCTTTTTATTGACACCAAATGTGCACTTCGGCCTACACAGAAAATGCCTGTTTATTTTGCTTCTGACTTTAATCCTCAGTAGTCGTCAGTATTATTCAGAGGCATCAGATGATTTGTAAAATGGAAATGAAATTCCCAAATCCAATTTACATTTTCATGACAAGCTTCATTGACACTCTGATATGTTTTGTCCCCTGATAGTGTGCAGGAGATGGAGCAAGGTGGAAACAGGGGGAGGGAAAGACAGATTAGGGTTTTAACTGCTTTGTGCATCATGGTTTCATCCCATTTTTTGGCTTTTCAGCTTTAAAACCCCCCTTACTCATTCTGCTCTGAAAATAAAGGCTACAGCTATAAATGTAGTTGTCATTTGAGGGTTCTATCAGTCTCGCTACTTGATGCCTATTTGTTCTGCCAGGAAAAAGCCTCGTGGAAATGAGCAGATCAACATATTAACAGTCCATTAATGCTGCTGAAAATCTCTGCGGCTGCCAACAGCTTGCAAAAGAAACTGCTTTGCCTTGAGCAACAGTTACTGTATATTTGCAGTGGCAGGTAATTCAAACATAATGTACATATCATTTCAGCAGACATTATTGGATTATGGGTTCAGAATTTCTCTGGTGTTTCGTGGTTATTTGGGTCCTGTTGTGACAAATCCATTTAGTTTATTTGATGCTTGAATAAAACCTCTTTAATGAAACATGATTATCTATGATGTATGCATTTTTTTACTTATTCATTTTCCTATTCTTTATGCTGTTGCAGAGCAAATAAGGAAATGCGTGTGCACCATGGGCTGAAACAATATTAGTCCTCTCCTTCTTTGTTTGAGCATTTGCCCTTTTCCCTGCCTTTGTAAAGTTAATGACATTAATCCAAAGTATATCTGCATCCGTACCACTTTATACTCTGTTTCATCAGGCAGCAATATGAACACATGACCTGTGATTTTTATAAGGAAGGTGATTATCTGTTAAAACAAGTCTCACAGGCCATCTTGCGGCAAGTTGCCACTTCCAGACAAATACACCAATTTCTGTTTATTTACAGTAGTTTTGTTTTAGCTTTATTTTACCAGGTAGACTCATTGAGATCAATATTTCTTTTACAAGAGAGACCTGGAAGGAAACAACATTTAAAAAACAGCATACACAGAACATACACTGTGTTCTAAATAATAATGCAAATTGTATTTAAGTGTCATAAAGGTTTTATTTTTTTGTTTTTCAATTAAACTTATGGATAGTATTGTGTCTCGGGGCTCTTTGGATCACTGAAATCAATCTCATATACCTGTGATAATTAGTTTGCCAGGTAAGCTCAGTTAAGGGAAAAACTACAGAAGAAGCGTGTTCCACATTATTAAGCAGCCAACCATGATCATGCAATATGGGAAAGAAGAAGGATCTCTCTGATGCTGAAAAGCGTGAAATAGTTGAATGCCTTGAAAAAAGTATGAAAACCTTAGATATTTCATGAAAACTTAAGCATTATCATTGTACTGTGAAGAGATGTGTGGCTGATTCAGAGCACACACTGGTTTGTGCAGATAAAGGCACAGTGAGGAAGGTTTCTGCCAAACAAATACATCGGATTAAGAGAACAGTCGCTAAAATGCCATTACAAAACAGCAAACAGATATTTGAAGCTGTTGATGTCTCTGGAGTCATCAAGGTGTAGGAAACTGGACTGCACCTGTAATAGCAAATTCCAGTTGCCTGATTTTGGAATCTTCAAGAAAACCATGACCTGGATGAATGAGAATCTACATGGACAGCAAGGTGTAGGATCCTCCAGAGGCTTGCAGTTGTGCATGAACCTTCTATTTGGCCACCCCTAAACAATGCTTACAAGTAGAAACGGTTGCAGTAGGCCCAAAAATACATACAGATTAATTTTCAAACAGTCTTGTTCACTGATGAGTGCCTTGCAACCCTGGATGTCCAGATGGATGGAGTAGTGGATGGTTGGTGGATGGCCACTATGTCCCAACAAGGCTGCAACGTCAGCAAAGAGGTGGCGGAGTCATGTTTTGGGCCGGAATCATGAGGAGAGAGCTGGTTGGCCCTTTAAGGGTCCTTGAAGCTATGAAAATGACCTTGGCAAAGTATATAGAGTTTCTGACTGAACACTTTCTACCATGGTACAAATAGAAGAACCATGCTTTCCGTAACAAACTCATCTTAAATTTTCTTCATGCAGGACAATGAACCATGGCATGCTGCAAGGAATACCTCTGCATCATTGGCTGCTATGGGCATAAAAAAAGAGAAACTTATGGTGTGGCCCCCATCCTCCCCTGACCTCAATCCTATTGAGAACCTCTGGAGCAACCGTAAACCAAGAGATCTGTAAGGGTGGAAGGCAGTTCCAATCCAAACAGCAGCTTTGGGAGGCTATTCTCACATCCTGCAAAGAAATCCATGCAGAAACTTTCCAAAAACTCAAGTTCAATGGATGCAAGAATTTTGAAGCTGCTATCAAATGAGGGTCCTATGTTAAAATGTAACTTGACCTGTTAAGATGTTTTTGATTGAAATAGCTTTTGATTTCAGTAAATATGAGCTCTTAATGCTGCAAATTCAACAAAGGAACCATTTTCAGTTCCTTATAACCTATAAAATGTTTTGAAATTCTGTTGTGCATAATAATTTGGAACAGTAGATTTTCAGTTTTTTTATTTTTGAAGAAAAAGAAAATACATATATGTATATTTTTACAAGAAAAACACAGGAACTTGACAACTGAAAAAAGGCTGAAGGCTGTCCGCTCAAGTCCCCCCAGAAAAACTCCCATGGAGCAGCAGGAACACACTAAGGGGCAAAACCAAAAAGCCAGGACTAGCTTCGAAGTTGCCTGGAAAAGTTCTCAAAAAAACACCGCATTAGAATGGTTCAATAGGAGAATCAACAGCATGTAGGACTCTGCCGACTGGACGGAATCATCTCGCAGAGTGGTGGAGTCTTGAAAGGTCTTTTATAGTAGAGTGATTGCAGGGAGATTGAGTGCAGGTGTGCTGTACAGGCAGAGCATCTACCCTCCGCCAGGGCATTTCATCCTTGCAGACAGCAGGTACCCGTGCCTCCAGCACCCACTCCCCCTCATCACTCCCTACAAGCTGCCGAAGCAAGGTGTGGCAGCCCAGCGCTTTAACGGACATGCCAGGGCATGCTCTGTTATTGAGCGTGCCTTTGGCATGATGAAGACCCACTTCCATAACATCTTTTTAAAAGCGTTGGACATTTGTGCCACAGGTACATCATCACTGCACACAATATTTTTGTTATACCTGAGTGTTTATTAATTACTTAAATTAATTAATTAAAAACACGAAAACTTATTATATATTATTATACCTATATTATTATACTTTTTTATTTATTAAATTCTTTGATAAATTAAATGCTATTTTTAATGTAAAATAATTAAAAAAAGTCCATTCAAATTAAAAATGTGCAACAAAAATAAGTGTTAATGTAATAGTAACATAAACAGAAATCAACTTAATTGCGCTCCACCATTCTTTCAAGTAAGGCCAGCCTCTGGTCCATCCGCTCCTGGCTTCTGGCCTTAGCTTGCCACTGGTGCGAGATGCCTTCTCTAAGCAGAGCCAGGAGCGGATCGGATGTTGGCCTCCTCCTTTTCGTCCCCCTAGGGCAGGGGTCGGGAACCTTTATGACTCAGAGAGCCATGAAAGCAAATTATTTGGAAATTTATTTCAGTGAGAGCCATATAATATATTTTAAGACCGAATTCAACTAAATGTGAGTATAATAAGCCTCTGAATTTATTCTTTTAAATAATGTTGTTATAATACTCACCATTCATGCGACTTCTGGTGCTGCATGGATTTGCTGATGGCTTTGTAGTCTGGTTGGTACTTGGTGAGGTTAAGCTTCATGCAGGCATTGAGGCTTTCATCCGTTAAACGTGATCGTAGGTTGGACTTGATGTTTTTAAGATGTGAAAATGACTGCTCACATAAATACGTGGATCCAAACATGGTCAATACAGCAATACTCACACGCTTCAGTGTGTCGTATGTGACAGGAAGCGCGTTCCAAGTTTGGATAATCAGCTGGTCTTCGGGTTGAAGTTTTTTCATTTCTGTCCACATGTGCTTGCTCGCCAACTCCGCTTTCTGTCGTGCGATTCTTTCCAAATCTTCATTCAGTGACTTGAACTTATTCACCCACATGTCTGAGGCCTTCAGGTCAGCCACTTCTGCTTCAAAATCTCTGACGGAGACGGCAGGAATGTAACTCAGGTCGTCTGCGTTCAGTAAACACTCGTTTGGATGGGTGATGAACTTAAAAAGATGAGTGTGCTCACGAAATTCTCCAAAGCGTGCTTTGAACGACTGTAGGAGACTGGATGTGAAGCCAGCTAGCTGTTTGAGATCAAAGTTTTTAGTGGGCTCACTTGCTGTGCATGCATCTTTAAATTGTCTCAGTTTTTCAAAATGTAGTAAACGACCTGTTTCAAGATCCATGATAAAGAGCTCCAGCTTGTTTTCAAAAGCAAACACGGCGTGTTGAAGGGATAACACTGTATTTCCAGTGCCTTGCATTTTCACGTTGAGCTGGTTCAGATGTTCAGTCATATCCACGAGATAGTAAAACTTGAGGAGCCACTCAGTTTCGGCTAGCTCAGGATGCTCGATGCCTTTCATTTCAAGGAAAGTCCGGATTTCGTTCAGGCAAGCCGCAAAACGGCTGAGCACTTTCCCTCTTGATAACCAACGTACATTGCTGTGCAGAAGCAGACCGTGATAGTTATTTCCAACTTCATCCAGCAGTGTTTTAAACTGGCGATCATTTAAGGCTCGGGCAACAATAAAGTTGATCACACGAATGACCAGCGACATCACTTCGCCAAGCTGCCCGTCACACATCTGAGCACAAAGTGCCTCCTGGTGTAGAATGCAATGGAAACTTAGGATGGGTCTACTTTCATGTTCACGGAGAAGCGCCACAAATCCTTTGTTTTTTCCCACCATACATGGAGCACCATCAGTACACACTGAGAGAAGTTTATCCATAGGTAGATTTTTTTCACGAGCGAACTCCATGAAAGACTTGAATAAATCTTCACCTCTTGTGGACCCTTTTATTGGCAGAACAGCAAGACTTTCTTCGCGCAGTGTGTCACCAGCAGCATATCTTGCAATCACACTGAACTGCGACAAATGACTTACGTCTGTTGACTCATCCAAAGCCAGGGAAAAGAACGGCGCTGCATTTATGTCCTTCACTTGCGTTTCCTTCACTTGGGTTGCCATCATGACGGTACGATCATGAACAGTTCTTGCCGACAGAGGCATGTCTTGTATCCGTTTGATTATCTTGTCTTTGTTCGGAAGCTCATCAAAAAGTTCATTGGCTACATCCAGCATGAACGTTTTAGCATACTCGCCATCTGTGAATGGTTTTCCGTTCCTCACTATTGCTAAAGATCCAGCAAAACTAGCAGAATTATAGTCACCTTGCCGGGTCCATACGTGGAGATGCTGCTGGGTAGCTTGCACCCTGCTCAGTAGCTCTTGGCACGCTTTCTTCCGGCTGTCTCCCGCAGGGTATTTTGATGCAAAGGTAGCATGTCGTGTGTCGAAGTGCCGCTTCACATTCGACCGTTTCATCTATGCAATTTTGTCATTGCAAATTAGGCACACCACAGAACCTGCTCTCTCCACAAAGGCGAATTCTTCAGTCCATTCGTCCTGAAATGTACAATACTCATCATCTTTTTTTCTTTTCGCCATCTTCTTCATCGAAGGGTTAGCTTTGAGCTAATGACCGCTGAGACTGATTCAAAAGGGGGCGTTTACCTGTTTACCCAACAACAGCCAACGTGGGCTATTATCAGCCAATTAAAATAATGGACAATTGCTCCTGCAGCCAACTGCAGCCCTGAACAGGACATGAGCAGTGGAAAATCAATGGATGGATTAAAACAAGTGATAATATTTTATGCTTTATCTGAAAAGCCGAAATCTGCGAGCCAGATGCAATCATCAAAAGAGCCACACCTGGCTCGCGAGCCATAGGTCCCCGACCCCTGCCCTAGAGTGAGGTTGCAATGTGGCTGAATTGATGTTGCTGTCCTCGTCGTCCCCCTCTTCTTCCTTCTCCTCCATTGTGGAGAAGGGGGGGGGGGGGGGGGGGGGCATTGATGGCCTCTGCCCCAACATCTCACAGAATAGAATAGAATATTCCTTTATTGTTCCCCCATGGGGATAATTTTTTTGCCACAGCAGCATCACAGACAAAGATGCAGTTATGAAAACGCAGTTATAAAAATAAAGATCGTAATATTAAGAACTTAAATAAATGTTATAATTAAGAAAAAAAATTGAAAAAGGAAAAAGGGAGAAGAAAGGAAGAAAGAAGAAAATAAAACAAAACTATATACAATATACACAATTTAAGTACCAGAAAAAAGTGGTGGTGTGAGTCCAGTTTTATTACAGTTCGTTGTAAAGTCTTATTGCAGAAGGGAGGAATCACCTGCGGTAGCGCTCCGTCTTGCAAGGTGGGGGTCTCAGTCTGCTGCTGAAGGAGCTGCTTAAAGCCCCCACAGTCTGGTGCAGTGAGTGAGAGGGATTGTCCATGATGGATACAAGCTTTGCTAACATCCTCCTCTCACCCACCTCCTCCAGGGAGTCCAAAGAGAAGTCCAGGACAGAACTAGCCCTCCTGACAAGTCTGTTCAATCTCTTCCTGTCCCGAGCAGAGTCCTGCACACTCCAAAGGACCTCAGTCTCCTCAGCAGGTGGAGATGACTTTGGCCCTTGTTGTACAGGACGTCTGTGTTGGTTGACCAGTCCAGTTTATTGTAGAGGTAGACACCCAGGAATCTGTAGGACTCCACCATCTCGATGTCCAGACCCTGGATGTTCACTGGACCAGTCTGAGGTGTCCTTCTGCCGATATCCACGACCATCTCCTTTGTCTTACTGGCATTAAGCTGGAGGTGGTTTGTGCCACACCAGTTTACAAAATCACTGATGAAAGTCCTGTATTCCTGCTCATCCCCTGACGATACACATCTGACGATGGCTGTATCATCAGAGAACTTCTGGAGGTGACAGCTCCCAGAGTTGTAGCTGAAGTCCAAGGTGTACAGGGTGAAGAGGAAGGGGGAGAGCACTGTCCCCTGTGGAGCCCCCGTGCTGCAGACCCTCATGTCCGACACACAGTTCTGAAGCCTCACAAACTGTGGTCTGTCGGTGAGGTAGTCCACGGTCCATGCGGCTAGGTGACAGTCCACTCCCCGCCCTCTAAAGCTTCCCCCTGAGCAGTGAAGGCTGGAGGGTGTTAAAAGCACTGGAGAAGTAAAAAAACATGGGGGGGGGGGGGGGTGTTTGCATCCTTGGTGTTGCATACAGTAAGTCCAAAGTTTTATTGTCTCTTGCTGGGCATTCCACAAATTGGCTGAAGGTACGGAGAGTGGAGGAAAGCGATGCATGATTAAAGACTCCAGAGATGATGATCAGAGACTGAGGGTGCGATGTTTGTAGCTTGGACACTTCACTATGGAGGAGTTCACAGGCTGCAGCAGCATCAGCCGAGGGGGGATGCAAACAGTTAACGCGATGATGTGCGAAAACTCCCTTGGCAGGTAATAATGGCCGCAAGCTCACAGCCAGCAGCTCAATGTCCTTAGAGCAGCACTGCTCTTTAACTCTGACGTGCCCAGTATTACACCATCTCTCGTTCACATACACCGCTATCCCGCCTCCTTTCTTCTTACCACTCTCCCAGTCCGCTCTGATGAGATGAAATCCGTCCAAAGTTACGAGTGTGTCCGGATTGAGTTCGTTCAGCCATGACTCCGTGAACATCATGAGGCTGCACTCCCGGTACTCCCACTTCAGCCGAGTCAGCGATGTGAGCTCTTCCATCTTGTTGGGGAGAGACCTCACGTTTCCCATAATGATGGACAGGACAGTTGGCTTATAACATCTTTGCTTCGCCCGATTCTGAACTCCGGCTTTGCATCCTCTCCTTCTCCTGTGGAGCTTGGCGGCGATGTCCGGTCTCTCCCACGAAGGAAGCCGGGCTCGGCACAGCGCCAACAGCTGTTCACGGCTGTAAACAATAGAGCCGCTGAACGGGTTGCCAGACGTGGACTTAAAAACTCCAAAAGTAAAAGAAAACAAAGTGCTAGAGTCATGAAATGCACATCCATGGTTGGAATATGCTAAACACAACACTGCTAAAGAAAGACAAATAAGGTGCAAAAAACAACAATAAAAAGGCAAAAACGTAAAGTCTGTGAGGAGCTGCTGTGACTTGCTGCCACTTTCAGGGCGCTCAGTCACTATCATCCATTAGGATGAACCAGGGCCAAGTGGCAGCTTGGCCGCTCCCCCAGCCCCAGCCCCTGTGGGAGGCTCTTTGCATTCCTGAGAAAAAGAAAATTGTTTAATACCTTGCAGGAAGGGAAATCAACACATTCTTCATGACCCATGTACAATGTTTAGCAGCATCATAAAAACCTTCACATACTTTATATTTTCTTTTCAGATTCTCCCACTTCCTCTTGGCATGCAGGGGTGTTATTTTTTTCCAAGAGCTGGAGCTCTGACGGTACAGCTCTTGTCACAAAGAGAGGTGAGACAATAGGTGAACATACATTACATTCACACACAAGTGTGCAAAGATTCATAACCAGTCACATGACCTATAATTTAACATACGATGGGCAGATATAACTTCTTGAGCATTTGGTGTTCCTTACCGCCATCCAGCAGCAGCTGAATTTTTGGCTCCCGTGAACAGGTGCTCCCTCTCCCCCCAGAGAAGTATGAATTTCTCTGTCATGTCTTTTTTTCCCTCCAAAAACATAAGTGTGAAGCTTTTAATGCGTTACTTATTCCAAGTGTATAACTGGATGGATAACAATGCAGGCACACAATGCCAACATTTAGATTTTGAATCCATATATGCATGTCAAATCAATTGTCCAGGCTGATGGATGGCCATCCTGCACTTCATAAAGAGGTCTGACCTTTATTCCTTCTTTATCAGGCCCACCGCTGATAAAGCAGTGGGTCCTCAAAACTGTAAGCAAAACCCTCAAAACTGTAAGGGTTTTTCTAAATATTAATAACTCTTACAAAATCATTAATTTTACAGCACTTATCCAAACAAGGTTACAAAGTGCTTTACATGTAGAGTAAATACAAACAAACATAGGCTTTATATCAGATTCAGGTATGACCACATTTGAAGCACGCTCAGAATCACGAGCCAAATGGGACACCGTTAGCGCCGCGTGATGACATCTCACACACTTGAAATGTGCCGTTCGACGGTGCAGTCTCTGAGCTGAGACAGCCACAGAACTCTTTAACAATTGACAGGTGTGATGTCTTCTTTAATTAAACCTATTCCACAAATGTTTACAGGGTAAAACTAGAATCAAAACACTGCACATATTGTTATTAACACAATTAAATACATGAACCATCACAAATACAAGTAATGT